GGGCCGCGCGCGTGCGACAACTAGCAGGTTGGCGTGGTGCCAGCTTGGGCAGCGCGCGCGGGAGGCAGGTGGCAGGCAGGGGCAGGCGGTAGTTCAATTTAAACGGGTTTTCAGGTTGACCCGGAAACCCGTCGGGTCAACCCGAACCCGACCACTTTTTCAAACGGGTCAAATCCAGGAACCTGAACCCGACCCGTTTTTTAAATCTGGTCGTGTCCAACCCAAATTTTTCAGGTCGGATTTTTATGTCGTGTCAAATATTGACACCACTAATGGAACTTATCCTAATAAAACTTTGGTTAGGACAAAAAGTAAATATCTTTGTAGACTATTTAAATATGTAAAATTAGCGTCTTAAATTCTTGTCAAGCACTAAAATTATTATAAATTTCAACAAGCACTTAGGTTTCGTTTGGGACAGTTTTCTTACTGCTTTATAAAATAATTTTTTAGCACACAAAAAATTTGAACTAAAAGTTTGTATACTAAAAACTGTTTAAAAAAATAATAAAAAAATTGTCCCAAACGAAACATTAGAACCCATTTAACTTGACTTTTTCTCCTATTTTTATAGGAGAAATTGCTAACCAAAAGTAGATAGATGTTAAGATAATTTTCTGTCATCTATTATATGAGTAATTATCCACCCAAAATGATGATATAAAATTCCTAATCAGTTGTTAATACATTTTAAAAGTTCATAAAAATTCAAAATATCCTTAAATTCGTGCTCTTCAATTTCATTTTATATAGTATAGTTATTGATAATAAATATGATGACTGATTACATAAATAAATTAATATAATTTGCTTATTCTTGAAAGTATTTACGTTGACTACATTAAATGTTCATTCTGTTATATAAATATTCTTTTCAGTTATTAATACAAATTTCTGCCAAAACATTTCTTTATTTTCTTATCAGATAAAATAACTTCACATTATTTTTTATCAAATTATAATTTCTGTAGGATATGCACCATAAATGCAACCAAGCAATTTCAATTATTATATTAATATCAGAGGATCCTTCGAGTTGATTTCCTACCTCTCAACAAACAATGCTAGGAAAAATAATATTTGAATAATATTTTATCCTATCTGTTACATTTGGGACAACTTTAAATTATTATTATTATTGATACTTCATCAAAAAATTATCTTGATCGGGCACGAATCTCGATGCAAAATCATGCTGGAAGCTTGCGAAATTAAAATTGGGATCATTTGAACTCTGATTTCAGCAAACTTACAATCAAACTGAATGTCTTAGAAATATGAACCCGACGACACAAAATTCAACTCAATCTGAGCCCAAATGAGTCCAAATCAATGACCTGAAGCGCTGTTGGAAGGTTCAAACCACAATTTGGATTACCAAATGGTTTCCAAACATTATGTGCTTATAATCGAATCGAGCGGCTCAACGAGACAAATCCAACGAGCCCAAGATCGCTGAATTCAGACATCATTAAGTCCTTCAATTGTCTGACAAATGGTACACGATCAAGGGATTCAATATCAATCGTCCATCCAACCACTCCCCATTTACCCTTGATCTCTCACATATTTATGGGGTCATGCCACTCTAGAAATCTATAAATAGACCGCTCATTTCTCTTGAAAATGGGGGGCTCCAAGCAAGAAGAGAAGACGAGAAGAGAAGGAAGAAGCTCATCCTCGACCATCGCTTGAGTTCCGCCAGACCACCGTCTAACGTCGTTGCCCATCCAGACCACCACTGGAGGCCCTCACCTCCGCCGAACCATCGCACGACATTGTTGCTCCTCTGAACCACCACTTGAGACCCTCACCCTCGCCGGACCACCACTTGAGGTCCTCACCTCCATCGAACCACCACTTGAGGGTCTCTCCTCTGCCAGACCACCGCTTGACGTCGTTGCTCGCCAGACCACCAGCTAAGGCCAAGACTTCTGTCGGACCACCACTTGAGGTCCTCTCCTCAACCGAATCATCACTTGAGGCCCTCACCTCCACCGGACCACCACTTGAGAACCTCTCCTCCGCCAGACCACCGCCTGACATCGTTGCTCCGTCAGACCACCACCTAAGGCCCGGACTTCTGTCAAACCACCACTTGAGGCTCGGATTTCTGTCGGACCACCACTTCAGGCCCGAACTTCAGCCGGACCACCACTTAAGGCCCGGACTTCCACCGAATCACCACTGGAGGCCCGGACTTCTACCGGGCCACCACCTGAGGCCCAGACTTCCGTCGGATAACCACTAACCTGAGGCCCAGACTTATGTCGAACCATCACCTGAGGCCCAAACTTCTGTCGGGCCACCACCTAATACTTAGAGTTCCACCATAGTACTGACCTACTACAATGATATTTCTGACCCCAATCTCCAGCCAACTATGGTCTTTTAGACTCCTCTCCTGCCGACTATGGTCCTTCTGGCCTCCGTCGCCTACTACGGTCTTCCAACCTACATCGCTAGACAACAGTCTTTCTTATATTAATCTCTTGCATACTACGGTCTTTCTAACCTCCTTCGCCTATTATGATCCTTCCGACCTCCATCACCAGACAATGGTCTTTCTGATCCCAGTCTCCTGCCAACTATGATCTTTTGGACCCATGTTTCCTACCGACTATGGTTCTTCTGACATCTATCACCTACTATGGTCCTTCCGATCTCCATCACCAGACAACGATCTTTCCAACATCCATCCTATCGACTATGATCATGCCGATCAAACAAACATTTCTATATTGTAACTCCCACCATGTAATGCGTTCTATATGATGTATATTTGTACCATCAAGCCAATGCCTTCTCCCAAGGAAGGGCCTCATTTGTAATTGACTGCAAATACTAGTGGATTCATCAAAACTGAGCCATACCCCATGTTTTTTCCCTATTTTTAGAGGTATCTATATAAAAACTCTGGTGTCTCTTATGAACGCTACACCTTATCTCTTATCTGATTGTGCTGGATCTTCGTACAACATTAAGACGTTAAATTATTTATTTCTCTACCGCCGCGAATACTCCAGGACACAACAATTATTATTATTATTAAATTCAAAAAAAATTATACTAAAAAGTAACTTTATAAAACAGTAAAAAAAAATTTCCAAATAAAATTTAAATTTATGTCAACAAAAAATGCATTTGAGATTATGACAAAATATCTATAGTATATTTAAAAAGAATTCATCACATTCACATTTATTATATCAATATTGCGAATCTCTACCCTTCACATAAATTTGTTACATTTTCATTTTATTTTCCAAATTATTATAAATATGTTTTATTAATAGTTTACATTAAAATTAAAACTAATATAAATAATGCAAATTTTAATTCCCTTTAAGAAGTAAAGTAATCAAATTCATAATTTGGACTTCTACAAAACCTTGCAAACAGAAATATATTGCGCCACCTTTATACAAATTTTGTCCAATACAGGTACCCGACAAAAATCTTTTTTTATTGGCTTAGCAACCATTTGATTTGCTAAAATATAGACTGAAGAATAAAATAAAACAATTTTTAAAAATATAATATATTTTTTCTAATTAATTCAATGAGTATAAAACAATTTTTTGATTGAAGTAAAATAAATGCAATAGAAAACCCAAAATAAACGAGCAAAGGAGAGACGGCGACAATTGATGATGATGACTGACAATGACAATCGATAACGATGACAACCGGCGATGGCCATCAGCGATGAAAAATGGTGACCAATGAAAACAAAATTGTAAATAGACACCTTACAACAATTATAATAAAAAATTTACAATATATTTAAAAATCAATTAAATCTAACAAATTTTTAAATACATTAAAATTAAAGTTAAAAGTACAGTTCAAATGAGTAAATTTTACTTTGATAATTCTTTCACTCCAAACTAAACATCAAAATTTTCAAAAACACCCTACTGAAAATAATTTACACTTCTTTTACTTCAAAGCAAACAATCCCCTTAAGATAATAATGAAACATAATCTAAACCATAACCAAATAAGAATAAATGACGCCTTTTGAGGATGAATTATTCTATGCGGACATCAGACAGGAGAACCGTCCGGTGTTCTCTCTGTCTAGAATAAAAGCGCAACATTGTAACAGCTGCACTAGTATTGTAGACAGAAAAAACAGAATAGTTCTCTTTGTTTGACGTCTGCACAGAATAATTTCTCTCTTTTGAGAGCAACTACAGCCTAGCCAAATAAAGATTAACGACAAAAGCTGCACCCAAAATCCCCAAACGAAACGAATCGGTTCAAATCGATCTCAAAAGAAATCTTTTATTTGCTTTACATGCAACCCATCGTACCATTTTGCCATTCAAAGTTCAAAGTACTCAAAACGAGTAAAATAGATTTCAAGAAATTGTTCTTCATAATCTTCTCATCAACGTCAAAAACTTCCATGGCATTCATTGGGTCCAATTTGCTTAACGAGAAGTTGGTAAATCTTCTCCATATTCTTACATGCAATGATTTAACTTAGAAAAATACAACATGAAAACCGAACCCATGAAGAATAATAAGCATCTCAAGCAATTTTTTTCAGTTAAAACATCACAATTCCCACAATTCTCCAGTTCAGAAAAAAAAAATGTCATTCGAAAGTAAAAGAGAAAGTACGAGGACTATCAAATGGATTACCAGAAAACTAGTTAGAACAAGTTCCTATCATGAAGAGCAAACGATAATTAGGGTTGCTGTGGCTTTTAAGCGCACAATAATTAGAGACTGATCGATCAGGTCTTGGGAGCGCAGGTGAGGATATGGGACTTGAACTTCTCCAGCTCCTCCAGAACTTCCTCTTCCGGCCTGTAAATTAAGTCGCTCATGCGCCATATCTGCATCAATATGATGATTTCAAACTTTAAAAAAAAATAATGGTTTCAAACAAAGAAAAAGGCAAAGCAATGTTGAGCTGGAGAACAACATGGAGAGCGATCATCAAATTTGCTTAACGAGAAATTGTTTTTCTTGGTTTGTTTTGGCTTTTTGCTTTTGTTTTAATAGATGAAATAAAAATCTACTTGGTATTTTTTATTTTTTTTATAATAGGTTCATGAGACTGATCTCTATGATGAGGACGTGCTGTAGCAGAGGTCGAGAATGCTGAATGAAGCTCAGATATAGATCTCACGCTCATGAACATTCGAGGATGCCCAGGGGCGGATCCAGCTTAATTTTCAGGAGGGAGGTGGGGGGGCTTATAAGTAAAGGTGTAGACTGTAGAGGTTTTTTTTTCATAAATAATCTTATAATCAAAATTTGTTATGAGGACTCTATCTTTCAACCCCTATTTGTTCATTGTTGTACGCTTCGCAGATATGTTGGGGGTCCAAGGGGGCAGCGTCCCCTGGCGGGGTTTGACCTGGAAGGTCAAGGGGCAGTGCCACTGTGGGGGTTTCCAGAACAAATTTTAGTTGTAAGGATATTTTTAGATTCTCTTTACTATTTCTCTTTGTATTTGGTTCATCGTTCCTTAACAATAACATCTATACACAATGTGTTTAATTATGTTGGGGCAATTGCCTAAAGAGCATAGTATTTTAAAACTTTTAGGGGGGGCAATTGTCTAAAAACCCTTGTAATAAAGACTAAAAAATACATGGATGGAGACAAATTACCTAAAGAATCATATAATAAAAAAAAAAATTTATTTTTTCGGGAGGGAAATTGCTCCTCTAGGCTTAAGGTGGATCCACCCATGAGGATGCCAGACAAAGAGATGGAAGATGAGGGGAAGAGTTCAAGAATGATCTCATGCTAGGCATCGATGGAGCTTGGAGCTCAGATCTCCCACATAAGTTGGAGCTCGTTGGATGTATGTCAAGCTCCTGGGTGGAGGATACCGGACAAAGGATGCTCAGGAAGGAAGAAGCATAGGAGCTCGAGCACAGAGGAAGCTTGGGAACTCAGAAAATAACATGATTTGTTAAAAAAAAAAAACAGAAAACACCTATTAAACATATTTTATCTAAATTTTCTAAAACCAAAAAGATAAATTAATACCAAACAGATATGGTAAGATTTATTTAGGTCTAATAATATATTTGATACTTCACATTGAATAAAACCAACTACTGTAAGTCTGTAATACTACCACTGGGGAATAATAAATCACCGAGTAACAGCCATGGCATGCTTTAACACAAGTTTATGTAAAATTAAATATTGCAATCTACCGGGTATATTTTTGTTAATCAAGAAAGGATTATCAGTTACCTGCAGTGTTCCACCGCCACCAGTGCTCTGACAGTCATCAGATACGCTAACAATGGTCCATGGATCAGATGCATTCCAATGAAAATCAACCACTTTATCTCTGCACAGTTCGATGGGAAGTTTTGAAAGAATTATAATAAAATTTCGAAGAAAAAGAATAACCATACAATTTAAAATAATATTTATGAATATATGTTCTGGAAGTATAAAAAAAATATTGAAAATAAAGAAGTTACGATTAGAGAAGAAATTAAAAAGTAAATTCTGAACTTTTTTTCAAAATAGTTTGTGAAGAGATGCAAATTGTAATTTTAAATCTGAATTAAAATTTGTGGCTACTGAATTAAAGAATGCTACAAAAATTTAGTTTTGGAAGATCATGCACAAGTAAAAAAAGACCGGTAAGGTGAAAAGAATATATCACATCAATGATTAACATTAATCATTAAGTTATGGAGATGAAACTATAAGATATTAAAATTCAAACATCTATATGCTATTTACAAATATGATAGCTTTAATAGGAGAGACATTCTAAAACAAGAAAAAAATAATAACAGATGAAAAATAGTATACCAATGATTGAGAAAATGCATGTTTAAAAAATTTAAAACAAATATTTATTACTAACAGTTGGAAGATCACATTAATAGCTAAGTGCAATAATATGTTGAATCTATCACACAAATACAAAAGAATGACAAATGCGGCCATAAGTTTTTTAGTTAACTCTATGTAGGTAAAATGGAAAAGTATCTCATGAGTACTTTATAATAAGAAAATATCTAAATATTCGAAAGTAAATTTTATAATCCTAAAGTAAAATCAAGTATGAGAGTTTTAGAAAAGAAAGGAATTAATAATGTTTATATTCAAGTCATTAAGGATATGTATTTAGGAGCTATTACTCGTATTCAAACTGACCAAGTATTTTTCTATTTCAATTGTATTACATCAAGGATCAGCTTTAAGCCCATATCTTTTTTACTTCAGTCATTGATGTTCTTACTAGACATTTGTAAGAGGATGTACCCTGGTTTATGGTTTTTGTTGATGATGTTCTTCTTATTGATAAGACTAATGCAAAATATTATTAATATCTCATGTAAATTTAATATGAATGAATGGACACATAAAACCAGCAAAATAGTTGTGTAAAGCTACTGCAATGATGATGATCAGCTCATTCTGCTTTGATTTCAATAGAGATAGCCACAATGTGGACATCTGACCATTCCACAAGGGTATGTTCTCTGCCAAGTATGCGTACTGTGTTTGTTTTCTGGTAATTCTGAGGGGGCGGGTTCATGGCTAGATCTTTGCAAGAGAATCAGCAGAGGCTCATACTTTCGTGCATGTAAGTGAATTTGTGGTCGATCTAATACCACCAAACCATCAATCCCAGGGTATTCAAGTGCATTGAAAACAAGTATCCTCCAGGTAATCTAGAAGTGACAAGACCTAATTATAAGGGCTGCCTTTTACCAGGCCATATTCTATTCTTATTAGTCTACCAAAACCATGTAAAACTATAATTTGTTCTGTTCTATTTGATTTTCAGTTTCAGTCCAAATAATGAAAGTGCACTTTGCTCACGTTTTATATTTTGTGGATAAATTTATATGCTAGTATTCATCAAACTAAATCAAATGTGCACACAGTTTGGATACAGTTGGGATAAGGCTAATGATGACGATAATTATTTGTGTACGTGCATGCAAGTACAAATGGAGATGTCTAAGAATAGATGATGTAGAACAAGAATGTGAAGACTTGCATTATGAAATTAAACACAAGTTGAATTTAAAATCAACAAGTTATTAATCATGGGGATGCGTACAAACAAGATTCAAAACAAGTAAGAAAGGCATTCCACAAATAGCAATTCACCACAACCAAAGTTCTAGAATTCAAGAAGGACAAATCAAATCAATAACTTAGCTAGCATGGGTTTGGCAAAAAAGATCCAACATTTAAATAAGATTAAGCACTACAAGAACCATGCACTCAATGATTTAAGAAGCCAACGCATTTAAATTAACATGAAAATAGTGATGCCATAGTGAATTGGACTTCAAACATATCTACTTAAATGTATGAAGTAAGAATAGGACTAGGTATTTGCGTCATAGGGAAGCTTCCTTCAGATGTGGTGTGGTCTCGGCCGGTTGATCTTCAAAGGGTTGCTCCGTAGTGCCTCCCTTGTGTTTTGCTTCACAGTGGAGAAGAAGAGATGCTGGCCGAAATCTGGAAGGAGGAGGAAGGCCACGGTTTTTGCTATTTGGGGGAGATTAGAAATGATGTGAGTTTAATTAGAGTGATGAGGCTTAGGGGAATGGGAGAGTGGGATTGAAAAATGAAAAAGTTGTTTTGGGAGAGGGAAAAGTGAACTTTGCAATTAATGGGTCAACTTCCCATTAATTAACATGAAGATTTCCAATAGTGGGCCAACTATGGGGAAAGGGAAGGGGTTATGACTTTTCCAATTCCCAACTAATTTTGAAAATGAAAATAAGGAGAGGCAATTACTAGGTCAACTTCTTATTAATTAAAATGAAGAGTTCCAAGAGTGGGGTGGCTTTTCCAATTCCCAACTAATTTTGAAAATGAAAATAAAGAGGCAATTAATGGGTCAACTTCCTACTAATTAACATGAAGAGTTCCAAGAGACAAGTGTGAGTCCAATTGAAATCCCAAAGGTCAAAATTTCAGATTTGCGATATTTTGGATTGGGAACTTGGATGGGGAGCTGGTGGTGGTGGGCTTGCCGTTGGCGGTGGAAGGGGAAGGGGTGGCTTGACGAGAAAGGGAGGGGAAGAGGGTTGACCGATGGTTAGGGAGGAAGAAGGACAGGGAAAGGGGAAGAGATACAAGGGGAAAACCAAGAGCTCACCTTAATGGGATGTTGGGTACTTCATTTGCCTTCTCCTAAGGCTTCACCACTCCACCACACTCACTCTCACACAAGAGAAGAGGGTTGAAATCAGAATTCATTCAAAAATAATCATCATCCCCTTACATGGGGGTAGAGAGCCATATATATAGTCTCCACCACATGACAAGACAAAAAGAAACAAATGACCTTGGGATTACAACATAACATTAAAGAAAAGTTCACAAACTAAATTAATCACATGCAACACACATAACAACTAATAATATAACTGTTGATCTACGCCCCCTTCTATGATAAACTTTCCATGCATTGATGTCCCCATCAATAGAAGCATGCTTGTGCTTCAAGCTTAAAGTTTCACAAACAGAACATGCCTGCATCTGGTCAATATCATAGATTTTCACTTCTCTACTGAAATATGAAATGATAGAGACTAAATAAGATTATCTGACACATAGATACCGAATAGTGGCATTTTAAAAACTAATAAGAAAAATGTAGCAAAAAATCGTTGCTTTATATTCTATAATCAATCCACCTTATGCTCTCTAAATAAGGAGCGGTAAAAGGAAAACAATCAAGAGCAATGAGATGTACTTTTATCACCTTCTTGGTAAATGCAGCTCTATAAACAGCTATTAGTTTTTCATCACAAAATTATGCTTAAATTAAAGTAATATTCCAGCTTCATTGTGCAAGAGTTTTATCTTTTGTTCACCAATATTAATATAATCACTTTTCACAACACCAACTTCATCATGCTGGCAACTTCCGATTCCACAATAATATGTGATCAGTTGACAATTGCTTATATAAGCCATGCACTACCTCATAGTAACGCTATAGTTTCAAAAATGAATAAACATGCATACATAATTCTTGAAGAGCTCAAATCTTCGAAAAGGTTGCAATCATAACAAAATAATATATCATTACACAGCCCAACTCATGAAAGGAATACATCCGATATCCTGCAGAATAGTTCATTTTTTTAGAAAAACATAGATGAAAGAACTATTTGAGAATACATTTTGCATGCAAATAAAACAAGCTCAACAACATGTAGCAGATGCCACTCACCTATGCCCCGCATGTTGAAAGAACAAACCGGGGGGGGAGTTAGTAGTCCTTGTACCGCTCCTCTCTCTCTTTTTCCCAACCTAAAATAGAAAGTTAGGCTGTTAACTCAAAATGAAAACACATCATGAAAACCACAGTTCAAGCAGAAAAACAAATACTCAAGAATCTTGCCAAGGTTTCTTTGACAACAAGGAAAATTCTTAAAAACTACAACCACAAAAAAAAAAAGTTAGCTAAACAACAAACTATGCATTAAAGCAATAATATATTTTTCCCATCATATTCTTTTATTATATATATATATAGACACACACACAGAGAAAGACCAAAAGGATCCCTTGATTCTTTATGAAAGACAAAAATAATCCCCAACTATAAGAAATGATCATTTTAGTTCCTCAACTCATTAAAGAGGAATCAAAATATTCCCACCATGGGACTATTTTGATTCATTTTTAAAGACTTGTGGATCATTTTAGTTCCCTCGCTCCTCTCTCTCTCTCTCTCTCTCTCTCTCTCTCTCTCTCTCAATCCTTTTAAAAGAATGCAAGCATTTTTCCTCACATATCTTGATGCAAGATGATTAAGGGTCTAATGTTTCTACAACAACAATCATATCAAATTTTTATCCCACTACATGTAATCGGCTAGATGAATACTTTTTTCTCCATTGTGTCCAGTCAAGAGTCAAGTTTTCATTTAAATTTAATTAAAAAAGGTAATTTATAATATTTCTAACTAAATATTGTTAAGTCTACCTCTACATTTCTTAACATAGGCAATCTAATACATCTACTCTCCTAACCGAGTCATCGGAACAAAACCATCTAAAGCGGCTCTCTAATCTTATCTGCTACTGAAGCTACTCTAACCTTTTCACATATAAGCACGTTTCTCATTCTATCTCTAAGGGTAAAGCCACTCATCCACATGAGCATTCTCATCTCTGCAACACTTAATTTTATGCTTCTCTTTTAATGACCAACATTCTTTGCTATAAAGCACTGCAGGTCTCATCACTATCTTATAGAATTTTTTCTTTTAGGGGTACTTTTCTATAACACAACATGCCCAATGCATTCCTCCACTTCAACCATCAAGTCTGAATTGTACTAATATTATCTCAATCTATTCCACCATCACTCTGGACAACAGACCTAAGATATCTAAAATGTGTACTCTTATTAATGGCTTCATTGCTCAAATTCACAATCCCCCCACTAAATATATTACTACTAAAATTACACTCCATGTATTCAGGTTTAGATCTACTCAAATGAAAACCATTAGATTCTAAGGTTATCATCCATAATTCAAGTTTACCATCAAATCCCTCTCTAGGCTTATCAACAAGAAGAATATCATCAACATAAACTAAAGCAAAAAGATATGGGCTTAAAACCGATCCTTGATACAATGAATATATAGATCATACAAAAGGACAAAGAAGTTGAGGATCAAAGACTACTATTTAAACAAAATTATATATAATAAATCACGCAAAAGAAATAAGAATTCATATATCAAAAAACTAATGATTGCATAGAAAAAATCACTTTCTTTAAAGTGCCAACTCAAAGATACATTAATTAAAACCAAACAATGATGCAACACCTTGATTAAAATTGCGTAATGTGAGGCGCACCTCAGCTTAATTATGTTGCAAAATGCATTGAGGCGCACACCTCAAGCTTGTGCTTTGAGGCGTACGCCTCAATCTGGCTGAGACGTGAGGTGTACTCCTCATGTATGCCTTTTTAAAATTATAAATTTATAACAATAACTAGTTTTTAACCTAATCTAAACACCTGCACCTTCACTCTTACTAATCACACCCAGGTCATAGCTCTCATCCTCGATGTCTAGCCATGAGTTCCCTATCGCTAACGCGCCCCATCACTGCAATCATCGACAATCTCCTGGTGACGACTGTCGCCGCAACCACCTTCTCCTTCTCTTATTACATAATATATTTTATGTTGTTTTGCTATTGTGATGTTTGGATTTAAATTATATTTCATACAATTTATCACTTGCTAATTTATGTATTGTGCAATTTTTTCTTCATATTTATAGCATTATTATTTTATAATTAAATAGAAAGTTAATATCACCCTTTAATATATTTTTTAGTTATTATACAAAAAAAACCACGTTTAATCTTCATTTTTACTTTACACAAATTTTTAATTTTGAGGCTTACACATCACCCCAAGGACGGGAAAGCCTTAATACCCAATAGCACAATTAAGCATTGATGCAACATAGATCAATTCAAAGAAGTTCAATCTACAAAAATGAATGAGCATTATTTCTTTCTTTTTGCTACAATTGAAATCCCAACTATAAAAAATTTTCCTTTACAAAAAACAATAACAAAACAATTAAAAAGAAAAAAAATATTATGGAAAATAAAAAAGAAATCATCAAAGTGAAAAAAATACAAGCCTCACACCAATACAAGGAGATGTCTTCATCTAAAAGTTGTTCATGGCCCTTTTATCGTACTTAAATGATTCCCACATCCAAAACACTCTCACAAGATTGAAAGCGAAAAGCATAAATTTTATTGGTCAAAATTTGTTTTTTACATGCCTCATTTGTTGGGATTTATAAGAATCTAATCTAAAAGAAGAAAAAAATTGTAAGTAACGAATCTCTAATTAATTTGGATACCCAGTAATATTTAACTAGAAGCCACCAACATAACCGGTACAAAGTCACACTGCAACAAGTACAGACGATAGGTCAAAGTCACACTCCTTAAAGTAGCAGCATCCAACAAAGCATCACAATTGCTAAATAGAATCAAAGCAACAAACAGAAAGTCATAGTAACAAGTGCCAGAAAATCCATTCAACAGAGAATTTCCAATAGTAATTAGGGAAACGCAGATATCATCTTAGCATCAGATACGTAACACAAAAGATGATTAATCCATTTGCGTAAGTTCAGAAAACCGCAAGCTATGACTTCTGGAATTCCACTCGAGTAAGTCCAATAGTCATAGAACTGAAAGAGCAAAACAGTTAAATCTAATCAAATGATACTTAACCTAAACTAAGAACAATTATGAAGAAAGAGAACACACTATGTTCTCATAGTCACAACATAACAGGCATGTCTAACCGTGACTGAAATTGAAAATTATAAGATGAACAAAAACTATTAAAATAATTTGTGCAGGTCATTTATCCATGTAAGCACATATTTCCATCACATCTTCCCCTATTCATTCAAAATTTTGAATCATTAAATTTTAAAGCAGTTTAAAATTATTGTTAATGAAAAAACAACTAAAATTTTCTTTCTCAAGAAAGTATAACCAACATTATTTGATTATAAAATAGGGAAATATCTTGGTACACACCAAAACAAATGCAAGAAAATATGCACGCATGTATCCATGAGCACCCAGACAAGCATAGAGAGAGAGAGAGAGAGAGAGAGAGAGATGAATGCATACTGCTATGGTAGACAGTAACTGAGCATAACATTAAAATAACTGAAGAAGATAAATGACGTCTCTCTCAGCATGTCTGAAAATTAATATTTGGGCCAGTGTACATCACGGTTGCAGCCAGAAGATAATAATGTGATCAAGTGAACTAATTCTTAATTATAGTAAATAGGTATCAATAGATCTGCACTTATCCAAACTACAACTATCTGGCTGCAGCAAGACTTTTGAGTACCTTCTCATGATCCCAAACATTCAAAAAACCATCCTCAGCAGCACTCCCAAAAACTGATGCTTTGTCTGGAGACCACTGAAGCAACAATAGTAAACAAGGCATAAGCACAAATAATGATGAATATCTTAACAAGGCATAAGGAGCAAAAAGAAAAGGTAGCTGGCTGGAAAAAAACAAGCCAATGATGATAAAGAGCTAGGAAAAAATCCATGCCTGCACACAAAGAACAGCAGCAGAGTGGCCTTCAAATTTATGAACGGGAGAACCAATGCCCCCGGAAGAAAGATTCCGCCGATCAAACATACGAACAGAATTATCAGCAGATCTAATAAGCAGATGCAACACAACAAACTATTAATTCTGATAAAGAATAGGTAAATTGTACATATAATGATAGTTTTGTTTAATGAAATTGGATAAAAGTATGGCCTAATCTAAAAAACTTCATCTGACCTAGGTCAGCATTCAATGTAAGCAAGCAAAAATTACATACCCAGTCAAAATAAAATTAACATCATGGGGATTCCAGTCTACACAGTGAAGATCAGAATTATGAGCTTTCTCAACCTGATAGCAGAATAGAATAATAGATGAAACTCAAGAATACAACAAAAGACTAGAAAGCTTGAGGCAGAAGCACCAAGTGTCAAATAAACTTGTAAAACAAAAATGAATAAAAAATAACCAAATATAACCTTTGCCAAGTAATCTTAAGATAATCACTTTAAGTATAATCGGCATTTTAAGAAAATCAGATCTGCATTTGCAGCAAATTACAGAATTAAGAATATGGATGCTTGATGCAGATTTCGTAATCCAATTTGGAATGCAGATTTTGTATCAGGGTACTGAAATTCAGTTCAGAATCTCAAATAGGCAGTCTAATTTTGTCCAAAAAACTGAATATGGATTCTGTAATCCACTACAAAAATCCAAAGCATGGAGCTATAATCCACTTAAACGTCCATGTTATGCATCTACAATAAAGTTAATAACCCAAATTATGAATTTTAGAATTCCTTCCAGATTTCAAAATATATAGCATAAAACTTAATCAAGAAGATAGATCATGAATCAGGATTTTAGACCATAAACAAGAACAAAAATTAAATAAAAGAAATTCAAGACATAGGTTTAAATTTGGGACCATGGATTGGTAAATTAGGTTTGAGAATAAATAAAACAAAAGCAAATTGGCATGACGGGCCTCCCTGCACACAGTGCAACAGTGCCGCTGCCACTATGCCTCGCCATTCACAAGCCCAATCCCCCCAAAACTGCAGTTTCCCAAGTTGTGCTGCAACGAGGAACACCCCCATTGCTACCAAACAAAGACTTAATTCATAAGCTATATTGAACAAATAGCACAAGTAATTGGAAACTACTATGATGAAGTTGGACATGAAAGTAAATGGGGGATAAGGTGCTGGTCTTCATGGCAATTGTGGTGTACCGTGAAGGCATTGGTGGCAGCTTAGGAGGTAGATTGTAGGCATTATAATGGTAGAAGACAATTGGTGGAGCTAGCATAGAGATAATAGAGAGCCCGGTTTCCTTTTTCATGATAGTATGACTTCAAAGAGAGAGAAATGGAGGGCTATTGTTCGCTCAGGAAAAATAGGCATGAACCTCACTCCCACAAGCTTAAGGTCCTTATTTTCCCGAGGTAGATTGAATTTTAAATTAACCATATTTCCCCTAAGAGTAGTGTTACGGTGCTACTCCAACCTTTTCACGTATTTATCTTCCTATGAGCGCAATCCCTCATAGTTAATTACTCCTAACACATAGAAGAGCACTCTCGATTAATGATGAAATTATATTTAGTATGTGCAAGAAGTACATATATGTATGCAACAGTATGTGAATGTTCTAAACGCTGATTGTGGGGGATGAAAGTTGACCCGATCAAGATATCATAGTTCCAACATCCCAAGAATATCGTAGGGTTCTATATATCAACACCGGTGACCAATGATCGTAATGTCCATGAAATCTGATTAGCAGCCTTGGGATGCTTCCTCTCAGACATCTCGAGTAAACTGATGTGGATATGTATTCGTTATTTAGTTTGGGTATGGACTTATGGTTAAATTTAGAAGTTGCCCTTAGTTTAAATTTGAATTACATTTTACGGCCCCATTTTGGACTTGCTCGTAGTTTGAATTTGGGTTGGAGCTTACGACTTTTATTTGAAAGTAGCCTATGTGATTGGATTTATGAAGGGGATTATGGCTTTCATTTGAAAGTAGCCCTAATGACGAATTTTACGGCCTCTATAAGAGGTGGCCTATATAACGGGTCTTACAACTTAGCCCTATAAACTAGGATGCTCAATATTCAGTGTGAATGGGTTTTAGGGTTATTTTCCTAATGTATGGGACTTACTGCTTCACTTAGAAGTGACCCGGGTTAGGGGTTTAGGGTTAAGTTAGTTTTACTTAGAGATTTTCATTAAGATCAGTCTTACAACTTCCATTAGAAGTTATCGGAGTGTTTCAAATGTCCATCACTTCACATAATAGATTTGTCTAGTGAAATAGTCACTAGGACTCACTACTTCCATTAGAAACGACCTATGGGGTTTAGATTTGTAAAGACATAGCTTTACACACTTCACTATTTTGATACCAGTGTCAACGTCCTATTTTGCTATCTTTATTTCAATACTAGCTGCAGTCATTGTTCTAACACTTACTATCCTACAGCTATTGTTTTGTGCTCGTAATAGTGCTTGTAACCTTTCTGCTGTAGTAGTAGCTTTACTTTTCCAGCATTAATTTTATTTATTATGTGCTAACTTTTGCCTACTTATTTGCAGGTGCTTGTGGCCAACAGTTACAGTAGCTGGAACTTGTAGCCACATGAGTTGTAGTTTGCAGCTGCAGAGAGGTTTGAGAGCTCACATGTAACTTGGAGATTCCTGTGAGTTTGAGAGTGTATGAAGATTTTGCTTGGAGAGCTATTGGCTTGTTGGAGAGCTTTGTGTTTGACAACCGTAGCCTGTACCTAGGTTAAATTAGCGAACACATTGGTTCTATGCTCTTTTGATTGTATTTGAAGTTAATTGCTTTAAATAACCAATTAATTTAATTAATTAATTAATTAAATTTTTAATTAAAGTTAAATGTTCAATTCATTAATTTTAAATTTCATATGTTAAATGTATTTTAAAATTATTTGATTATTTAAATTAAATTGACTTGTTCAATTAATTTAAAATAAAAGGTTTAGAATTTAGTTAAAAATTTCTTTTAACTAAATAGTAATTAATTAAACTTGAGTTTTAAATTCAATTGATTAAAGTTTAATTTAAATTAATTGAAGTTTTGCTTATTTAATTAAATTTAGTTTAAAACCAATTAACTGTATGAATTTAAATTGATTGTTTAATCCTTTGAGTTTCTCTTACTTGCTTTAATTTGGTTGAAAAATTAAATTCAATTGGCTTGGTTCAATTAATTAAAGTTTCAGTTAAGCTTTAAATTAAAATTCTGATTCTTAACCAGTTATTTAATTGGATCTCATCTTAGATTAATTATTAAAGACGTAATTTAAAACTGATCAACTCAATTTAAGTTCTAATTTAAGATTTAAAGTTCAAATGAGTTGATTTATTGAAATTTTGGATACACAGTCAATTAGATTTGGTATTTTCATTTTTAATGTTAATTAGTTAATTTTGTTTAGATTTTAATTTGGTTAAAGTTTTAGGTTAATTATTTAATTAGTTTAAAGCACTGAGATTAGTTAAAAATTTGATTTTAATTAAGTTTTAATTAATTGGGTTATCAAATTAATTAAAAAATTGTGTTAAGTTGATTAGCTTAATTATTTATTTATTAAATTTAACTAATCAGTGGGTTGAACACTTAATTTATCTTAATTAAAATTACTATTTCCAAACTAAATTGATCAGCTGAATGTTTTTTTTTTTCAATCTTCCAAAAATTCCACCAAGTCCATTATAATGATCTAAGAAATTTTGGCAACCTCCCGACGTCCCCTCCTCGCAAGAGGAGGTAGGAGAGGGTATTTGCCCTTTTGGATCGACTCAGCTAGATTAAATCGACGGCAAAAACTTCGGGGGAGCAAATTGACCCCGAAAATGATTTTTGAGTCTTCAACCCACTCGGCTCGATCAGATAGACGGCCGAGGGCTGACCAAATCAACCCCGGGACTTCCTTCAATTGAATAATCGTAGGAAGAGTCGGATCGGGAACAAGAGGCTCGGTCGGCTTTCTTATGCACGCACAAGAGGCAGATCAAATGGAGGGTGGAGACGGACTAGGTTGCAAGTCCGTTCGTGCAGGAGGAAATCCGAACCCGCGTAAGGGGAGGAGGAATCAAGATGTGGAGATCCTTGAAGGAGACGATGACATGCCACTTTCTAAAGAGGAGATGAGCATGGGAAATGACCGTCGAGGTGCTGATTTTCAGCGTCGAGGTGCTGATTTCCAGCGTCAAGGCGTGTCAATTGAATAATCGTAGGAAGAGTCGGATCGGGAACAAGAGGCTCGGTCGGCTTTCTTATGCACGCACAAGAGGCAGATCAAATGGAGGGTGGAGACGGACTAGGTTGCATATCCGTTAGTGCTCACATGAGGTGAGGTGAAAGCCTCATGTCGTGAGGGAGTTTGGTTTGGCCGGCTATAGCACAGGTCGGGTTTGCTTGTCAGGCACGGTGTTGTGTTGAGGACAGACGCCGAGGAGGTTTGGTGAGTTGGTTGTTTGCACGAGACTAAGGGAGAACGAGCAGGGATCGCAGTTAGCTTCGGCTCTGCGTGCAGGTGAGGGAACTCGAAGGTAGTTCAGTTGAGGGCTTGAGAGCCAAGGAGTTCTAATTGCCAAGTGAGCGCAAGTACAATTTTCTGTTTCGATTCTCCTTTTTATGTGATTGAGGCAACAGTTACCTTAGCGTCGTGAGATCGTGGTGTCGTGTGATTGTGGGCCGGTGTGTGGGCACTGGTCGACTGTTTGCAGGTCAACAAGTGTATGTATGTATGAGCTCAGGGCAAAATTACCCGTCAAACTCAATCCTATATATTATTAATTTATGATCAGATGTGGCTTTCGTTAACAGATACTGTTTCTCAAATGGCAGTCGAATGAAGCTTGTAGTTGCCAATAGTCCTTGTTCTTCACATTGAGATTAACACATTATGCAATAATATCTTGCGTTGACTATAAGGACATTACTATTTAGCTGTGCATATTACAGAGCTGATAAACAAGGATCCAAACAACCAAGGCTCCTATAACTAATTAACTATTAATAACAATGTAAGCGAGCCTAGCTGAGCCTAGCCGACTGTTTGCATGTCAACAGCTACAAAACTTTTTGATGGATAAGAGAGTATAAATGATGATAAAGATGAATATGAAATAGATAGTATAAAAGATTATATTATCCTTAAGCTATGCATTAGTAAAATCCAATAATACCAGACCTAATATTCCTTGCTGGTCAATTTGCTTATTACAAAGTGACACGGCCCAACTAAACCTCCAGTTCAATTTCTTTATCACGAATTCACACAGTCCAACCAAATATAATATCAAAATAGAATAATTGGGTCAACCAAGTTCAGCACTACATGAAGACAAATTGGCTAGGGGCAGTGTGGCTTGAATATCTCTATAATGGTCAAGCTGAAGTAAAACTGAAACAAAGAAACACGCGCTACACCAACATCTAGACAATATATAGACCAAAAAAAAATCATTAGACGTTTTAAAAATCAACTAAACCAATCTAAATCATCCATTTCAAATTGGTTTCAATCGTTCTAACTCTCATGCTATGAGCTCGAAATTTCAACACCTTGGGTCAAATTCACTCATTAATAAAACATGTGTATGGTAAAAACAGAAAAATCCCTTGTTGCATCACATGCGAATTGACCGCAAGCCTTCTAGGGCTGAGAGCTTACAACGAAACCACCCAGCCAACCTTAAAGTCTCATGATTTACAAGAAAAATATTTTATTTAAAATGAATTGCAATAAGATGAACGACCTTTGTATAAAGATATTTAGAACCCTCCCTTAAATTATAATATTACAAGTATTCATTTGCGTTATTTACATGATGATAGAGCATGGAACAACTTAAAGTATGAAAATATGCACAAACAATTATTCGTACAAAGTATATGCTACATACTAAGAAATTAGAACATTAACTAAAATATTGAATATTTAATTTTTCAATCATCGAATTTTTTTAATGAAATGTATTAATATGCATAAAATACAGTAAAATACAACCAAAACTAGAAACACGTTGATTACAACCCCAGAACTGAGCATATGAACCACACATGGTCGCACAGGAATATATTTTTTATTTACTACAATAGTAGAAACTTCTCTAATTTCATAGCTGTTTAAAAATATATTTTTAAGACAACAGTTTATCCTTTTGAGTATTTTGAGAAAAAAAAAAGTAATCAAACATCACACCAAAAAATATAAAAATCACTAAAACTTCCGCAACAAGGCCAAAAGAAATTAAACCCAAGTTTAAAAACCTTGGTTTCATCCATAGAAAACAAGACCTCAATTTTATCATGTAAACAACAGGGGACAAAAACCAATTTGAAGGAAGAACAGTGCTTCACCTTTACGACAGGACTGGTACCGGCACGAGCATCCCACAAAATGAGACAAGAATCATCACCGACGCTACAAAATTCCTCAGCACTTCAACAACAAAACAAATAATATAACATAAGAACAAATCAATCATTAGGTAAAAATACAAAATAAAGACATCTTTAAAAACAGGCTAATGAGAAAGTATAAAACAAACTTGGTACAAGATCTAATAAATGATGGTGAGCAATGACACCAAGACAGAAACAAAGAATTATAAGCCTAATATAGCTGCTTGCAGTTGGTACAATGGATAAAAAGGGTAATAATGAAACAGTTGATTGCAATGTTCTGTCTCTAGATTACCTAGTTGGACAGAACTGCACATCTTCAACGGTATCTTCATGTCCTTGGTACACCCCTCGTGGTGCAACAGTCGGACTGTCTGAGGACTTGTTGTTACCAGCTTTTGCAGCCTGCTTACCACCAGAACTCCCAGAAGATGCTTCTAGAGATTTAGCATCCGAAGCCACTCCTAGGGTAGAGATATGATCTTGTATACTCCACAATACGACTGACATGTCCTTGCCTATGAATACCAGAACATGAAAGGGTGCTAAATAAATTGAATTTTTGTAATCAAACAACAAACTCATTTAAACAAACACAGTCAATATGTGCAACTTCACTCCATGGCAGATGCACCTCACTCGCAATTGCGGAAGTAAATACAATGGGTCTTTTTTTTCAGATTTTTTTGCTTTTCAACGGACACGTGTATCGGATATGTGTGTCGTTTTGAAATTAAGTAGTATTTTAATTAATACGGCAAAGCCGTATCCGACACGTACCGGTGCCGTATCAAAGGCGTATCCGTGTATCGGTGTATCATATACAACACACCTTCAGAAATAGGTGTATCAGTGCAACATAAGTCTAAACCAGTAAGATACATAAAGCAGACAAGAAAATTCCAAACTGGCAATACGACTATAAAATATCACATGAACCACATCTACTTTGCAATAACGTTAAATTGGAGTCATTATATGCCTAAAATAATGCACGGGATATTCTTGAACTAAGTTCCGTCAACAAAATAAAGTTCAATATCGTCTAACCTCCTGAAAGAACAAGAGGCTCAATGGGGCACATAGAAAGAGCAAACTCTGCATTTTCTTGATGCCCTGTCAGCACCTGTAATACAAATGAAGCTGTTTGCTAAGGAGTAAAAACTGATATGTAAAAACTGTTCAATGCATCATTTTTAAAAAAGGAGCTGAGAATAAACAAAATAAGCATGCATTTTCTAAGAGAAATGAAAATACATAGGTTGCAATTGAATTAACTAGCAGTGACAGACCAAATCCGGGCGTGATGGAGCAGCACCAAGCACAGCATGCCGATTAGGCTGAGCCTCAACATCCCAAATAAGCACCTGCATTTCAGGTATCAATCCAGTAATCTTCAATATATACCTTGTTAAGAAGAGCAAAATTGATTTCAAACATGAGAAGAATCAACATCAAAGGGAAACACTATACATCAGGACTGTCGGTATGAGTCCCCACGATCTTACTATTTTGAGGGAGCTCCCTGATTCTGTTGACCTGCAAAAATTCAGGTGTAAAATGCAATGAGATATAGGCAAAGCATGGGAAAACTGGGAGCTGTCAAAATGATGCTTTTTCAAGAAAAAATAGATTTCACAACTACTAATAATCTTTATTTTTCAAGGATGACTAAGCAATCAATATCATATTGCCTCTTAGCCAAACAAGAAAGGAAACATAATAAGAAATTTTTGATACCTTAAGACAATAAAAAGAGGAATAGACATCAAACTTTAAAACACCAAATCAAAGGCATTTGTTCACTATGTCATATGTTCTACATTAAAGAAACAGGAACAGAAAATATGACAGAAAGATCCATTTTTAAAATGAAGTCATATATAGTTTACATCTTTTACATTACTTTAAAAATCATAAAAGGTGGCCCTGAGTAGTTGAGCATTTCTTTTGTGTTACTTTAAAAATCTTAAAAGGGGAGAAAGGTGAAACTAAAGTTTATGTAGTAAACACTTAGGTAAACTTGATGGCTAATATGAATCCTCGTGGTTGTTTGCAGTCTTCTCCATATGATGCCCCTTCCTTCTACAAACAACAGAACCCTTACTCATATTTGGCTCAAGAACCAAGCAGCTAATTGGACATTTTTGCCAAGAAGCGTTCAGTGGCACCCGTATTTCTAAGAACACTTCCCTTCTTGTTAAGAACTTTTGTCTACTACATAAACTGTCCAATGGTCATAATAAATGTATGGAGACAAGGAATTTAGTGAAGAAACATAAGAAGGCAATAGTGAAGGCAATTGAAATGATGCTGCATCATATAAAAAGACAATTGAAGAGTTGCTTTTTTTGTGTAACTGTTGATCCACTTTGTCATCTGTGTAATGTGAGAAAGTTTAGGCAACCGCTTGAAGTTATGGAATATTTGGAGAACAATTGCAAGCAAGGAAGAAGGAGTTTTAACATAAAATAAGTGAGGATAATAATCAGAAACAAATGCAGCTAATCCAGAAATGAAAACATAATCAAATTTAAATTCAATATAAGTTAATTAATGAAAGAATTTTCTAATTGTATTTGCTTTTCATCAAAAATGTTTGGAATAGCAAGTTATTTGCCAATATGTATTGTCTTATTTTTGAAAATAATCAAAGAAGATTTGTTTTTAAAAAAGAAACAAAACTGATTTTCAAAAGGTAATTAATCCAGGAAAAAATAAATAAACTCCTAATGGTATAAAAATCTACAGCATGAAAATAACTTCATACCTCCCCAGGATGAATGATAGTTTTAAACTTTTTCACAAATGGTGAGCGTGCTTCTTCATTGAACTGCAAACAGCAAACAGAACTGAGTGAGATGCCTTCAAACAATCCTCTCAAGCAAGTTATGGGTTAATGAATAAACTTTAAGAACTGGTGCAAACAAAAGTTTTGAAGTCCTAGCCTGTGAAATATGTTCTGCAGCTGCAACTCTTGGTTTTACAACATCACAATTGGCAATCACAAGAGTATTTGGAACGCTGCCATCAGTCTGGAAAAATATGCACAATAATTAGTTGTTGATGAATGGCTGAATAGCAACAATGGCGTAGCATTCCCATGAAAAAGCTCAACACAATCGTGAGCCTTCATCTAACTATTAATACCAGGTAGACAAAAAAAAAACAAATTACTTTAAGGACAAACACGGAGGGGTTATACAAAAACAACTATAAGAAACATCAAAGAAAGAAAAGAAAAAAATGCAAAATTTAAAAAATAAAATTTGATATAAAGCTCCTTATTTAATTCTCAGTACAGACACTATAGGAAAATGTCGCTAGTTTATTATTTAAAATATATTCATTATGATTTGTAAATAATTTGCAATACTAATGAAAAAAAGTATGGGAGTGACAACTTTGAAGTTGCTACCTGTGAACTTTATCAATCACTGATATTTAGGATCTAAGAAATATTTCTGCAACTAAGTCTAAAAAAAAAATTTCTGCAACTATGAAGTAGTAAAATAGCTATTTGTAATAAAAAGTATATGCTCAGTAGGTTGTCCGTGTGTGAGTTTGTATGGCAGGGAGGGCAGGAATTAGTGGGGCAGCACAGCTGAATGATGCTAAAATATGAAATGATTACCACGGATGAAAGAACAAATAGAAAGCTGCAATAAAGTTATCACATTTGAATTAAAAAGAAAAGGTATGAGACATGTTTTATTAACTCTGGTGCAAAGTTTTAAACAAAAGCTCCTAAGAACAGCAAACACAAGGTTTTACGGGAGAAAGAAAATGTGATGTACATGCCAATCATAAAAGGAGAAGAAAGCAAAGGAAACTAAGTTGATATGCAACTTTTCTGATGTGGTTTTTCCTAGTAGTGTGACTAGTGTCATGGTCTTTGAAATTATCTTTTAACCCAAGATTCATATCCATTATATTCAACATTTTTTTTTTAAGGATTGTCAACCTGGAGATATATCAGCAAGAATATGATTATCATTCAATATTAAATTTAAAAGGTTAACAACATATCTGCAACAACTGTAGCATTGGCAAAGTTACTTGCCTGTTCAGATAGGTAAAGACGTTGACGATTCTTGTAAGTTGCATGCTCCACTTGAGGACCCCAGCTTTTCATTTAAAATCAATATGGAGAATAAGAATAGTGAAGGGAGATGGTATATGAAAGCAAGAATCAATAAAAACTAAATAAACTAACTGGCTGAGACAAAAAGTATTCGGTAACTAATTATGCATGCTCCTAACTTTACCAACACTACCAAGAACTTTCATTGTATTAATAATTTACATCATGTTGAATAACTTAATTGAAGCCAAATTAGTTGGTGAACCCAAACCAGCTTCACATACACAAGTGCACTGGCACTGACAGAATAGAAGATTATCTACAGCAAACCAATTAATAATGCAGCTCTTTCATAATTCAAAATTGCCTTTCAATGCCAAGAGATCAACTTTTTATTTGCATTGATAAATTGACAATATAACATGCAAAAACTTCACACCCGATATTCAGTTATGATGCAAATGCAAAAACAAAAGCAGCCTCAAAGTTTTAACACCCGCCCGTTTGATTCAGCCTTATTTATCAATTAAGCTAGTTTAAGCCTTTTTTTCCTCCTAAATGCAAATTTGAGTCATCTCCTGAAGAAGGTTAAGCCAAGTCCATATCCTTTCCTCATTTAGGGGATAAGACAGGATAAGCAGATTAGCAGAGCATACTTCCAAACTGGCTTAAGCTTGTTATGCTTCATAACCCTATTTTTCAGACTTCTTTATTTCATCTGCTTAGATAACCTATCCTCCTCCACAACTTATTTCACCAACTTTATATTAGCTTCTGTCTAACAAACCAAACAATTTAACTTAGCTTATAGCTTAAGCTTCAAAATCTTGATGCTTATATTCACTAAGGCTTCGTTTGGGACAGCTTTCTAAAGCAACTTTCTACAACAACAACAATAACATCAAACCTTTGTCCAACTACAAGGGTCGGCTACATAAATCCTTTTCTCCATTGTGTCCTGTTAGAAGTCAAATTCTAGTTTAAATGTAATAAAGAAACATCATTTCTAATATTTTCTAAACAAGTCTTTTTAGGTCTACCTCTACCTTTTTTAACAGTTTTCTTACTGCTTTATAAAACAACTTTCTAGTTAAAAAAATCTTAAACTAAAACTTTTTGTGCTAGAAAGTAATTTTAAAAAACAATAAGAAAGTTGTCACAAACGAAGCCTAAGCTTATCCATTGTTAGCTTAAATAAATTGACAACAAAAAAGGCCCTTAGCATTCATTTCATGAATTTACCTAATTTATAATCCTTTGGGGTTGTTTGGCTGCAATTAGAATTTAACACAAGTAGGATTTAATAAATCTTGTATGACTGAATTTAGTAAATCCTAAGATAGTTAAATCCTGAAAAAATGTTTGAGAGAGATCAAATTTGATTAAATCTTGATATACTATTTTACCACTTCTTTTAAGAGCACAAATAGTATATTAATAAAAACTAGTTGAAAGTTTTTTTCCTATTTTTGCTAAATTTTTAATAATAAGACTTTTATAAATTGTGCATATATTCTTCACATTAAAGAAATCTAGAATTGTTGAGAGCACAAAAATCTTAATAGCTCAGGCATTTATGTCCAACGATTGATGCTAATAATCACCTCAAACAATCGTTATCCCACAAGCACCATTGCTCAACTATCATTATCAGACTATTGGTATTAAATCACATTTACCACTAATGCCACCTGACATCATCACTTGAACGTTATTTCTGGACTATCATCATTCCGCTACCACCACTCGATATTATCATCATCTAACCACCGTTGTCCAGATGCCATCACCTGAAGGTAGCCACATGACTGCGACTATCAACTATCAATTAGTAATGCTGACATTTATCAACTAGCATTCATCTTCTAATCATCCTCATCTTCATCATTTTCAGCATCTTTTTTGGTATTCTCCTCCACCTTCATAAGAGATCAAACTAGCACTTCATATTTTGTAGACCCATATTCTTCAATTGAAAGGCAGTGCATCCTTTTTTAATTTTACTTATATAGTGGATTGATTGAACTTTTCTTACATAGTGGATTGATTGAACTAAACAACGACTCTTATTTTTTCCCTTTTCATCTTTTCCTTATAGAAAATTTTATGTTCATTTCTATAGTTCTTTCTTTCATATGAGCTCAAATCTTTGTATAATATAACAAAAATTTTCTCATTATATATTCTTAGTTTTTTAATTTCTCATTGTATATACTAAGTTAAGTGTTGCAGAGATGAGGATGATTAGGTGGATGAGTGGCTTCACTTTTAGAGATAGGATACTAAGGGTGCGTTTGGGACGGATTTTTCCCTGCTGTGCGTTTGGGAACGTAACCACAATGTGGTTTGGGGTTACCGCTTCGTGCTCCGTTGGGAAAATTTTCACGTCCTGCCGTTGCTTTTCCGGTCCGAAGTAAACCCCCCGCGTTCGCCTGCGTTCCGCGGTTCCAAGGCATGAGAAATACCTTAATGACCTTGCAGTTACCTAAAATCTACTCTGTTCTCTTCTTCATCCTCGCCAAGTTCCACTCTAAAGTCCATAGTTACAAATCTCCATCTCCTTCCGAATTTTTACCAGGTAAGAAAATGGGCAGCGTTCGGAAGTCCAGAAATCAGCGATCTTCTCTTTCACCTTCGATCGACGGTAAGTAGGAACAGGGTAGCTAAACGATCCATCTTCTGTTACTCCTGTTATTCATTTTCGTTTTTCTCTTTCAGATGACAAGGACTGGGCTAGGAAATTTAAGAAGAGAGACGACGAGAAAGAGAAGAAAACTAGAAAAGAGGAGGATAAGGAGCGAAAAAAGGGGAGAAGAGATAAGAAATCTTGCGAGCATTCGGATAGCCGAGAGGGAAAAGGTAAGTTTTTATTTTTCTTGGCCTTTTCAGTTATTACTTGTTGTTTACGAATTAAGCTATTTATCTTATTTTGTGGTGATACTTTCACTCTTTCAGTTCAATGCCAGTTTTTGTTGCTGAAGTTCTCAAGTAATATCTAAAAAATGCATCTTCTGCTTTTGACTTTTCTAGAGGGGAAAACGAGAGAGAGGCACAAACACAGAAATAAACGAGCAGAAAAGGTGAGTTAACTATTTTTCATATCAGCCGTTCTTTCAAATGTGCTTGGTTTTACTTCATATATATGATCTAACTGAATGCAGCAGTAGCCAGACGATAAGCCGCAAGCTTAGGAATTTTTTCAAATGAAGTGAGAACTGCAATATGGACCAGTCGGAGTCCGATAGGGTTTTCTGCGAACTCATATCTTCTTCGCCGCCGCCGGTAAAATTTTGAGTCTGGAGTGAAGTGATTCCCGGCTATCTAGATTTTTTTTCTATACATTCAACTCCGGCGACATTTCATCGCCTGGCTTCCTTTTTCTGTTGTTTTTGTTTTTTGTTTTTCGAACTTATTCAATTGAAGATACATTATTGTTAGTGAATATTCAGTGCAGCTATTGGAATTTTTTTTGAGGGAAATTATTGTTATTTTTTAGAATTTTCTCATTAGTTCCACTCGCCATCAATATAAGGGTAACAAGGTAATTTGTTGTCAAACAGCAGCAACACAGTAGTTCGACAGTAATACTACCCAAACAAAATTGACTGATTTCTATACAACAATTTTAAAAAGCAACTTTATGTACAACAATTTCACAACCGGCTTTACCGACAGCTGCAGCCGTCCCAAACGCACCCTAAATCTTGCTAAAGTTCAATACTAAAAAATGTTTTGCAACATAAGTGTTAAATCTTGTGAAATCGTTTGGCAATGTAAATCAGGAATTAAGGAACTTAGATCATTTTAAAAAATAATTTAATTTCTGTTTTAAGTTTAATTTATATTTTAAATACAAGTTACTTATTAATAATAAGTTTAATTACTATCAATAAATTATCATTATAAAATAATATAATTAAAAAAACAATTTAATTATGAAAAAAATTATTATTTTAATTTTGATTATATTTTTAATTATTTAACGCTAATTCTTGTTAATACCCTAAACTCCCTCTAGGATTTACAGTGGAACGGGTTCTGAAAAAAATTAAGAATATAGTGGATTTATTTTGTCCAAAAAAACCGTTTGGCAGGATTTATGTTAAATCCCGCGTAAATCCGGTATAAATATGGCTAACAAACAGCCCCTTCAACTAACAGGTCTGAACATCCACACGACATACATGCCCAAAGCAAGATAGAGAAAAAAAAAAAGTTAAAACTAAGATAAACCCTATGTTCACCTTCAAAAGTTAATCAAGAAGCCCAGTAGTTTTTAGCTCCGGTATTAAAAAGATATACGGAAAGTCTAAACAGAACCAACATAGGAACTTAGAATCAATGGGCCAAGTAATAATGCTAAAACCCTAAATGGTGATTCGCTCGGCCAAAACCCTAGTAACTTGTGAAGCCAGCAGGGAACCATGAAAGGAAAGCGGGAAGAAGATAAGGAGGCGTACCGGCACGAGAGCGAGGGCCACACGAGGTTGTGATTGGCGAGCCAGTCATAGAGCACGGGAACGAGGGATTTCCACTGGGTATACCTTTCGTCCACGGAACGCTGCCCCGCTTTGCCTCTTTCCTTCATCTCACTCTTTGGTGATCGCCGGCTTTTTCTCGATCTCAAAATTTTCCAGCCTTCAGTGCCGACTGCTGTGCTCGGCACGGACCAGAAGTTAGAAGTCGGACGGCTGCTGTTGGATCACTAGGAAATACTGCTATGTGTGAGTGGGAGGCTGAAGTGAGAAGGGCTAAATTGTACATTAATTTATATCAATAATGTAGTATAAATAATAATAAGGAGATTTACATTTTTAATAATTACAATCCAGGGACTGTTTGAAAATAAATTTATTATATGCGGTGTTCAAATGCATTTAGAGGTCAATTCGGACGTTATTCAATGCACAGTGTTTTAGGCGACGTTACGCATCCGAATTCGCCACCAGACACGTTCAAACACCGCACGGAATAATTTCTCTTTTTTGAGACATTTTTTATACTCTTTTATTTTTTAGATACTAATATAATTCTGTGTGACTATGATTTTTTTTGCTATATTATTGCTCTTTTAAAAAAAAATTATGATAGCAAATTATTTTTCACAATAAGAATAGCTTAGTTTCTCTCCCTATAATAACTTCAAAATTAACTTTATAAAGTACTATAATTGTCTCAAATAGACTCTCAATTATTAATATATTTAACACTTAAATTTATTATCTATAACAATGAAAAAGGGCAACCTAATATCATTAGGCTAGGAATTACCATGATATGATGAGAAAGTTGTGACGAGATCATGGCACATTGGAGTGAGGAAACCTTAATGGGGAAGGTTCGCAATGGGGCAAGGAAGCTATGTGGAATGAGGAAGTTGTGATGGGATCTCTTGGGAAGGGACACAACAAAATCTCAATGAGTCGAGGTTGAAGATGGAGATTCATAGGACCAATGGTGCGTCGTGTGGTGAAAGGTGATGGTATCAGGGGTAATGGCATAATTATAATAAAGATGATGAGGATGATCTTATTTTTTTTATTTTATTTTAAGTTTTGTGTATTATGTAAGCAAATAGTAAAATTTATATGTATAAATTTGGAGTGTTATGTATGCAAATCATAATGTAATAAAATTTAAATTTGATTAAGAAATACAAAATATGCAACTTTTTGTAGGATTAAATTTAAATTTGTGTGATAAGAGTGTTTGTAGTTATATAAATGTCCTATACATCTCACTGAATATTCCCTCCAACGATTATTTGTCTAACACTGCAAATATAAATTTGTGCAAGGAACTCCCAAGTCAATGTTTTTTCGAAAAAAATTGACCCTTCTATGTCTGTATTGAATAAAAAGTTTGAATTCTCGGATGGTTATTTGAAGCCTTATATGTTGTTCAAGCTTTTTATTTTTATCATCAAAATATCTCTATTATAAATTATTAGATGTTAGAATATTTGTGACCATAGAGACAAATATTAATATCTTAATTTTATACGAAGATTTCGCACACACAGATGAAAGAAGAATTGCTAGAGTAGCCATGATTTTTAATAAAAGACCCAAAAAAGTGAAAAAATGGGGCCTAGCCCAATTGAAATAAATTAAGTAGTGTTTGTTATAAGTTAGAAATAGTGCCTCTCCCCGTGACTAAGCTAAGCAAGGTGTTGATCGACTTAAATTATTTAGTATAGATTTTATGGCTGAGATTGTAAGAGCTAAAAGGCATGGAAGTTGTCTTTAAGATAACATATATTTTTTGTTGTACTTCTTTGAGGATAGGAAAGTAGGGATCATAAAATTCAAAATAAACTTAGTGCTAAAGTTAGAATTTAGAACTAGTGTCAATGACATACATTAACCTTATAAGTAATAATGTGCATTGACATTGTTGGGAATGACGGGCGACAAAGTCAATGAGTGTTGGTGATTAAGGGACTATATTGGGACAATGGTGGTCAGTGAATTATATAATAAAGCGACTCTAATTAGGGGATAGTGATCCAAGGACTGTAGTTAGTTAATAATGGTTAGTTGGCCACAATTAGACAATAGTGGCTAGAGGACTATAATTAGTATAATAGGGTGGTATAGTCAAAAGATTATAGTTGATCAATAGTGGCTGAAGGATCATAGTCAGGTGATGGTAATCAAAGAACCAAAGTTGAATGTGGTCGTGAGACAGTAGTTGAGTAATGATGGTTGGAAGATTATAGTTAATTGATGGTGCTCATGAGGTAATGGTTGAGTAATGGTGGTAGGTGGGTCGTAGTCAAGCGGTGAGGATTATATGACAATAGTCTAGTGTGTTTGGGTTGAATTTGAAAAGAGGTTTTGAAAATTTTAATCTTCTTTGAGAAATTAGAAATAGACTTTTAATTTAAATTCTGAAATCAAATATCCCATCAGAAAAGGTATACCACCTCTTAGGGAAGAAATAAGATTTTAAAATGGGATTCAAATTTAGAATTGTAAATTCCATCTTGAAAATCGTAACCAAATTTAAGAAAGAACTACATATGGCCCAGAATAGCCAAAGTGAAGTTCGATTGAATATATAGCTTCGATAATCTAGATGAATTATCATTAATCTCGTATTTGAAGTTTTATCAACAAATGATATATCTCCCCAAATGAAGAAAATATCATTTATTATCAATTGCTGGAATATGACGTCGTTGATTTTGATTTTTCCAAAGAAGACTAATTGATTTTTGAAAAGTTGATGTGGGTCGTAAATCTCCTACGAGCGCAAGCCCTCATAGTTAATTACATTATAAGGAGGCTGAATTTCTTAAGAATACTTTCGATTAAAATAAACGATAGAAATTATGTTTATAAGCTTTCTAGGAGTGATATCAAAGGAGGTGGATTTGGAGTTTCAACATGGATTGGATCAAATTTTAAACACTTATTTTTGGAGTCAACAAAGTTGAAGTAGGAGATAGTTTGAGATTCTGAAATAATTCAAAAGTGTCTCGACCTAAGCTAAGTGTTGGGCTTTAAATTTTGGACTGAGAGAATATTTAATTTGAGTTGAATAGTTTGTTAGAAATTTTGAATTATATTTCCGGAGGTTGGAGTCTTATGATTCAAAATCTATCCAAGATTTTAAATCTAGATTGGGCGCTTGATAATAGCCTGAACCTAGCTAGTGTAATGTAGTTACGGACTTAACCTTGCCTAGTTGTGGAACCAGCTAACCACCTAGTCGATTAAAATACATGAGTCTTGTCACTTTTAAGAAAGAGTTGTAGATACATTATTATTAAAGTTTTAGAGAATTGGGACCGATGTCTAGAGTGGATCTTAATTGGTCCCTTGACTTATGTAGGATGAAAATGCTTGAATCAAATATAATTAAAATTTTAGGCATATTTAAATTTATTTCTAATGCAATACATGTTGATCGACTCAATTAAATATATAAAATATATATGAAGTAATTTTGAATAGGAATAAAAACTTATTTTTTCCTAGAGATTGCACAACATGCTCTTGACAGATCCGCACCCTCAAAAAGCTAGGTGGTCTGTCAGATCTCGCCTACTGGAAGGTGCCTAATAAGGAAGATAAAGTAAATAATATGCTTATGCTAACTCCCGGTGATCTCAAGCTTATTTCTTAGATCATTAGAGTTTTTTTATTACCCTAAAATTTTTAATTAGATTTAAGTAGAAAATATTATTTACGTACCCTCACGAGCCTTCGTGTATCTAGGCTAACAAAAAATGACAAGCAATCATAAAAAAATAAGAAAAACAGGCAATCATAATTGCAATCAAAATAAATCAAACACGTCAATTAATTAATTCTATTAAGTAATGTCCATAGGCAAATGCCCCTTTATTACAACCCAAAATTTACATAAATTAAAAGTGGGAGGGCATCACTAATAACAAACTCAGATTAATCATAGGATCGATGCAAGTTGACTTTGAGTGGGATACTCTTTGTCTTTAACTCCTCATCCTCCTCTTCTTCAGGCTCCTTGGATTTGTTGTATCTTGATACTCAAATGAAAAAGAAAACTTTTCCATGAAGGTGAGGTTATTCTTTTCACTTTAGGTACTTAAGTGACCCAAATTTGAGCTTATAAATGGAAAAGGGCCCTCCCATGACGAATGTCCTTTCCTCTTTGGAACAAAAGTTTGGATCTATATATCTTGACTCAAACATCTAACTTTTACAACTCTTAATTTTAAACAAATTACATCAACATTAAAAATGAAAAATCTACTCTCTTGTAGAACTACGGGAAAACACGCGATTACCGTCTGATTTTCCGACGGAAAAATTTGCTATAGCAAATACGGTGCATCATGCGTAGGAACGTTTACGGCATTTTTCCGGCGCATATGGTGCCGGAGAGTTTCCAGCGTCTGTTGCACCGGTAAAAGACGTCGAAATAGACCAACATTTTACTGGTTTCGGTGCACTTTACGGTGAAAAATAACCCATGTAGGTTGAGAGTTTTCAGCGTCTGTTGTATATGATTTGAAGGTTGATTGAAAGTTGGTTGAATGCTGGAATGGAGCTTAGAAGTATGAAAACAAGATTGAAGGTTGGATTGGAAGATGAACTTGGATTTGATTAAGAGTTGGATTGAGATTTGATTGAGACCTATATAATTTTCATGGATTGAGATTTGATTAAGAGTTGGATTGGGACCTATGTAATTGTCAAGTAGGCACCTGCCAATCATTAGGTCACAAAAAGAAAACCCATGTAGGTCTTAGTGATTTCATACAGAAATGAGGTCAACATGGTGATAATAGCATGAGGATCATAGTGTAACACTCTAGGGTCTAATAGAAGAATTAAATCCCTAAGCCTAGCTTTCTCAACCATATCATGGAATATAATAGAGCCAACTAAGTATTCCAAAATAATAAATAGAAATTACGATTATCTAAATTATCATTCCAAAACAAACAAATATTTTAGTATAATCTTATTATGGCTTAGTTTAAGACAACTTTCTTATTATTTTCTGAAGTAGCTTTCTCGTAAAAAAAATTCAAGAATTAGAAATTTTTATACTGAAAAGTTACTTTCGAAAGCAACAAGAAAGCTATCCCACACGAAACCTAAAGTTTTAAATTTAGTGACTTAAAAAACAATAATTATAAGTTTATAACTCAAATTTATTTTAAGGCAGAGATATTTATTAAATGTTCAGACAAATCAAATTACAGTTTGATAAAAAAAAAAAAAGAGGCCAAGAAACCCATCTCCCAACAAAAATCAGTTTGCCTTTATCGATCGAAGCCTCTTAAACAAAAAAAAATCCACTCTTGGAATGAAATGAGACAGTTGAAAGCGAAACTAAGTTGTGAATGAAAAAAAAAAAAAATTATATTATTCGATTCTCCTCTCTAGTTAAGGGATTAAGGCAAAAAAAAAAAAACTTGTTTCTCAACAGGAAGAATGGATAGAAGTTCCTCTTCAAGTCATTGAATCAAGAAAAAGACAAACTACTACAGAGATGGCATCAAGAACTATAAATCCGAGGTGTCATAGTTTGTAAGCGTGAAGAAGGAAGCAGCCCTTTTCAAATCATTTTCCTCCCCTTGCTCTATAGTTTTTGCTTCCACTTCAATGTCGGAGCTGCAACACCAAATGTGCACCAAATTTTCAGTTACTTGTACACAATCTAAATTAATAAACAAAGCTATGCAATATTTACATATTTATTTTATAGCTCAGTAACTGAAGTTGCAGACATTTTTGGGGATGTATCTCTAAGTTTCTTCAATTGGAGGGCAATTTACATACACATCACACAAATAATTCTTAGGTATTTACATATCTAACTCCTAAAATCTGATATTTGTTTATATAGCACTCAAATCTTTAAATCACATAAAAGGTGTGTTTGGGATGGCTGCATCATTTTATATAATAGGTTGTGAAGTTGCTATAGGGAAAGCAACTTAGACTCCTGTTGCAAAAATGGCTTCCCACAACATTAGTTTTTGAGAAGCGGTTAGAAAGAAGAAAGCAAATGAAATTATAATTGTTGTCTCAAATATAAAGCAGTGAGAAAGTTGTCTGAAATGGACCCTACAAATATATTACTAATATTAACTTCCTAAAGTGAAATTCACATTTTTATGCATGTCTTAATGTGACATAAATATTAAATGATATATAAGTAAATATATAATTTTAGATGTTAGATACACAAACATGAAATAATTGTTTAAAAGTAATCTCAACCATTCAATTTTCACCTACTAAATCTACTATACACATATTTGTAACGTCTTACCTACCATAAAAAAAATTATCCATGTTTAATTCTTGATGCGTTACCAAAAATTGTCGTGATCGAGCACTAATCTTGAGGCATATTAAAGTTAACATCTTCCAAAATTAAATTTAGGGCCAAACGAATTCCAATTTCTGTAAACTTATAATCAAATTGACTATATCAATAAGATGAATCTAACGACACCAAAAATCAGTCTGATCTGAGCCCAAAGGGCCTTTAATCAAGAGCTTAAAGCATATTTGGGCTACAGATCAAGAAATATATAAGACTTGAAGCATCCCAAAGCTGGCACCATGGTGAACCATCACCACCAGGTCATCATTGCGGAGCCTCTACAGGACCAATATCGTCATACTTCTGTCCATCCGCCATAATTGGGCCTTTATCTAACCACCGTCGCCCACCAACTACTGTCTCTATGACTATTGTTTCCCTATATTAAAGTCCCTTTGATAGCCATCACTCGCCGACAAAGCTCCCCCCAACACTATCACCGGACGACTACGGTCCCTGCGACCTCCTTTGCTTATCGACCATGATCCCTCCGGCCTCTGTAACCCTCAAACTATGGTCCCTTCGACCATTATCGTCTATCGAGTATGATATCTCCTAACATTTTTTCCATCGACTACGTTCCCTCCCACCACCATCGCTCACCAACTATGGTCCCTCTAACCTTCAGACCTCTGTCGCCCACTGTATACGGTCCCTATGACATCAATCGCTAGTTGACTAAGGTCCCTCTGACCTTTGTCATTCACCGACTATGGTCCCTCCGACCACCGTCGCCCGCCGACTATCATCCCTTCAACCTTCTATCATTCGTCTTCCCCTAATTATGATTTCTCTGACCTTCCAACCTCCATCTCCCATTAACTACAATCCCCCCATCATTCATCGCCCGTCAACTATGATCCCTCTAACCTCTATTGCCTACCAATGACATTCCCTCCTAGCTTTGTTTCCCTTCGACTACGGTTCCTAAGATCATCACCCGTCGACTATTATCCCTCTGACCACCATTGCCTGCTGGCCGACTACGATTCCTCTGACCATAGTCGCATGCCGACTACAGATCCTCCGACCTCCTTCGCCATTTACTATGGTATCTCTGACCTCCATTCCATATCAACTCCAATTCCTCCAACCACCGACTGTGATCCCTTTAAGCTCTATAGCCCACCAATTATAGTTAATTTGACTACTATCGCTTGCAACTATGGTCCCTCTAACATCTATCACTTACCAACTAAGGACCCTTAGACCACCGCCGCCCTCCAACTATGGTTCCTTAGACCCCCTTTGCCTGTCGATTAAGATGCATGTGGCCTCTATCTCCCATCGGCTATATATGGTCCCTCTGACTTTCATTACTCGTTGAATACATTCCCTCTGACCTCCATGTCATGCCGAATACGGTTCCTTTGACCACTATTGCCCGCCGACTAACATCCCTCCAACCTCCATCACCCGTCGATTATGGTCACTCCAACTACCGTCGCTTTTCAACTATGACCTCCATCACTGTCAACTATGGTCCCTCTGACCATCATCATCCGTCTATAGTCCCTTCGACCATTGTCGCCTGACTATGGTCCTTACCGACCAAAAGACTAGGCCAACATTCTCATTAGGACAACTCTCATATCACTATATTAATTCCTATTTCCACCATGTAATATGCTTCATATGATGTATATTTGCTACATAAAGCCAAGGCCTTCCCCCCAAGGATGAGCATCATTTTTAATCGACTACAAACACTTGCATAATCTTTTTAACTTGGTTAGACCCCATAATTTTTTCTCTTTATTAGAATTCTTCACGTAAAAATCTTGGTCTCTTATGACTTGCATTCCTCTTTCTTATCTTTCTATGAGTTGGATCTTCATACAAAGCTTAGATATAATTCTCTATATCTCTCTACTGCCGCGAATGTTCCATGATGCAATTGTTCTAAATAAGTACAAATTTTAAACTTATTTTACGATACAAATTAAGGCACATTTTTTCTATGTTTAAGATCTTCATGCCATGGTGGTTTTGTGAAAAAGTTGATAACTAATTAATATTGTGATCTCACAAATCTGGTTGTACCTCCATTCTTGTGATGCAATCTCTTTGTACAAAGTTTTATTCTTTTTGTTTTTTGGTGCCACACAATTATGTTGGTGGAAACTTGGTATAGTGAAAATTAAACATATTCTATTGGTTTTATATAATTCTTAAAAATTTTTTGATGTAAACATTCCTAGTTGATTATACCTTATGGGTTTGATCTAAAGGCAACTTTTTTCTCTAGTGTGACCTTGAACTTCTTGAATGCTTAAGAAAATTCCAATTTATGCTTAAAAGTACATTCATATTTTCTTAAAAAAATCATGTATGAATGAAAGAAAATATGCAATTTTACTAAATGAGTTGGGTTTGATTGATCCTTACATTTATGTATGTATGAGTTTGAGTAGCTTTCGAGCCATTTTACTTCTTAAGAAAGTTTTACTTAAATTTCCTTATGAGTTAGAATTTTCCATAAGGTTATTCAGGGCAGGTACATAAGCCTATCACCATCTTTCATGGATAACAATTCTAGTCCACCAAGGTTACTATGCTCAAAATAAAGATGCCAAAGCCAACAAACATCTTGCAACATGTCTTGACATACTTTACTACATCATTTAGAATATTAAAGAAGTTATTAAATTTTTTTTGCATGAATTTTCACCTTAATGATAAATTTTCATTGACATCTCATATTATATTTTTTGAAGGATCTTTCATGTGAATACCCTTTTTTGCAACTTACCTCAAACTAAAAATATCAATTTTTATATTGTGCATAAAATAACACTATCAAATGAATTAATAAATTTTATATTTTATGCAAATAAAAATGATAAATTTTTCTTTCAATGGAATTCTAAAATCATCTCTAAAATAAACATAATTTCTTACTTACTCATTGAGTTGCCCAAATATGATCCTTCTTTTATACTTATGATTGCTCACATCAATGCTAAGGTATCAAATATTTTCTTGACCTTCATTATTGATGTTGTGAGCTAGTAGTGTAGTGCCATTTTTTTATGCTATTTATTTTATTTAATTGACTATCTCACTAATTTTATTCTTGGAAGTTGTCTTTAGCATAGTATTTGAGTTTATTATAGTTAAAGCATTCAACACAAGATTTCTCATACTTTAAGTTTGTAGAGTGTTCTCCTTTATAATAATTGGAATTGTAGTTCATAAGCCCAAAACTTATCTATGAACATGCCTCCTTCTTGTCCATGACCACTTATATTAACTTCTATTATTATTGAATTATATTTCTTTAAATCATTGATTGAGCATTTATCTTGAGATTTGTAACATCTCCCATCTTCTTTCCATTTCTTTTAGGTTTATTATAAATGATTAAAACTATTGAAAAGTATTTAATGGAGGACTCCACTAATTTCATATGCAATGAATTAAATTGTTTTCTCATTGTTTGAATTATTAGTTTCTTAGTTAACTTTCACTTTTCATTTATAAGAGATTTATAGCTTCTCTATTGGGTGTTAGGATAAGGTGAGACTTGAATTTTTTTTAAAATAATCATCATATAATGCTTGGTAAATGAGGATGAGAGTTTTTTTATGTCTGTCTTGAAACTTTTAAACTATCTTTTTTGTGTTGAGGTTATTGTTAACTCATTCATTGACTCATTAAAGTCTTTTCATGACAACTTAAATATCATGTGCTATAAGACGCCCCTCTATTATAATACTCGAATTATCATCATTACTTTGTTGAGTGATAGTACATGGAAGGATGCGATTCATATATTTCCCTTAATTTGAGCTCAGATCAGGTGGATTCATCTTTTTGAGCTCTTCAAGTTTACATACTATCTACCACTTTCCCTTAGGAGGTATTTTTAAGTGAAGACCTAGTACTATATCATCTTATTGAGGCTTGCTTATTGTTGTGACTTACAATTTGAGAGGTTTAGAGATAATACACTTTTTATAATTTATTTTCAAGGGCCTTTCTAGTAAGGATCTTGTCCCTTACTAGCTTTCTATAAAGGCTTCTTCATTATTGTGCCTTCAAAGGATTTATCCTTCCTTTCCATTATATAACCATGCTCGTCAAACTTTTAAATATTATTTGTGATGAGAAGAATTTTGAAAATTTTCATATATGTAGAATGATTAAGAAAGATAATTGTCAGTTGAGATACCATGGGTGCATAAAATGATAGAGGGAGGATTTGCCCAACTATAATATCACTCTACTTGTTAATGTGAATATCCTTTCAAGGAAAGTATTAGTGTAATGCTATAACTATGAAATGTATAGAATAAATTCTATGATGAAACTTGGTGGAGCTTTGAGACTTTGGAGTTATCTTCAAGAGCATCATATAGGTGACACAATATTTCTACATGAAAATCTAAAAGGGGAAGATTATGGGGCTATACTTAATTAAAATAATTTTACTAGTGTATATCATAGGCTATAAATGTTGTATGCTTTTACAATCATCTAGAGCGTTGTTATAATATATAAACATGAACTATGGTGAATGGATTCTATCATGGATGTTAGATGCATGATATTTGAGATATTGGAGGTATCTTTATCATTGGTGATTTATTTGATCATTTTTTAATAGGAGGAGAGCCAAGAGACTAAGAAGTCCATCATAAGTATTTGTGTTGACTTGGAATTGAAATTAGCACTATTACTAGGCATCAATGTTTATTGGCAATGACATGTATTGAGGTTTATATCAATAACATGCATATGTATTAACCTTATTAAAAATAAAAGGCATCATGGTTGATGTCGAAGGTGGGATTTCATCTTATTGATGACAACATGCATCAAAGTAGGTGTTGATGATATATATTAACCTTATAGCAGACTTCGATCATTGGGGTTAATGTAGACAACATTTGTTGAACATTTTCATAATAATGGGCATTGGGGTTTATAGTAATGATATGTATCGACTTATTAGTGATGTCATCCATCAATATTGTTAGTGTCGATTTCTAACAAAGTCATTGAACATTTGTGTTGGTGTTGATAATATGCATTAGCTTTATTAGTGATGACATGATTCGATATTGTTGGCGATGAAGCAAAAAATGATCATTTTTTGTATTGATGACCATCATCAATGTTGGTGTTGATGTGGTGTGTCTCAACTATCTTGACAATGCTGTGTATTGACATTAATGTGGACAATATACATCAGTCTTTTTGGTGATGTTTTGCATCTATATTGGTGTGGAAATTATACATCAACATTCTTAGCAATAGTGTGTGTCAAAGTTGTTCGATAATCAAGCAATGACAGTTTGGTGGCAAAGTTTGGGCAACAATAGTCAGGAAATGGTGGTAAGTTGGTGATGGTAGTTGGTTGATTGTGATTAGACAGTATTTATTAAGTGATAGTTAACAGTTTGAGTGATAGTAGTCACCAATAATGAATATTGACCTTGACATTGAGCAAAGCTCTCTCTAACTCTAGGTCTAGCTTTAGGACTAGCTCCAAGTTAACTCCCTCTCCTTTATGTAAAAAATGTGCCCTATTTTATTAAGGATTTTTTATTGGTAATTTTAGCCAAAATTCTCAATTACTCCATTTGAAGACATTCATTGATTTTCTTGATCTTATATCATTTTTTAGGTATTTTATTATTATATTGTCAATGAATTGAATAATGCTAGGTTTGTTAGATTCCTCTTGTCAAGCACTCACTATGACTATAAGCACCCAAAATTCGATGATTGTTTGGTCAAATAATATTATAAAGTTTTCAACTATGTTTCAAGTGCTTAATTTGGACTCATTTCAAGATACTTATGGAGTTGTTAAGTTTGTTTTTTAGAAGCATTGACTTTGATCATAAATTTTCTAAATAAAAAAGCTCACATGGTCCTAATTTTACACATCAAAGTTTATGTTTGATCAGATGATGTTTTTTATGACATGTCAATGTTCAAATAGCATTTTAAAAACATTTTAAGAATCATATTCTACTTTTATTAACATTAGATTTCTATAATAGTTATCCGCACCTAATATTTAGCATCTAGTAATATTGTGATATCTTAAATCTTTTCAAAATTTTGTTTTGCTAACCTGCTCAGTGCCATGACGGTGGAGCCGACGTTAACTTTCGATTCTACGTCCTCATAGTCTGCACTAATGCCGAATGCATGGCGCCCCATTTCAGACATGTCAAGAGGCGGCCGCTCGTCCACATCTTCCTCACCCTCTGCTTTCTGTTGAATGCTCAATATCTGCTCCTGCGTCAGCTCTTCGTCTGCATTAATCGTATTAATATCGATACCAATGAGGTTGTGTTCATGAAAGTCATGCAGGTCTTGTTGCCCATCACAGGAGAAGTAGTGATCATTATAATACTGATGCTGCTGTTGGCTGAGGAGAAGATTTGGTTGAATATCGGAACTTGCGTCGAATTGAGCTCGAAAACTGGCGATTTGGCGGAGGACGAATTGCAGCTCGGCCTGTGCAGCGTTAATCCTTCGTTGGAGATCAACGATGATGCGGTAGCAGCCGCCGGCGGGGTCTTGGGCACGAACATTCGATTGGAAGATGATGGAATTCATTGCCTCTTGACGGCGGTCTGGCTCGATGGATTTGAGTATTTTGAGGATGTTGGAGACGCCGAAGAGGCGATGGACGTTGAGAAACTGGCTTTGTTTATCGGCGGGGAAGAACGGGGCGAGAGTGCAATCGGAGGTGCATTTGCGGCGTTGGAATTTGCAGGCGGCGCAGGCGGTGCAGGCGGAAGCAGTGGGGATGGAGTAAGAAAGGTCAGACTCGGGGGTCAAGGGGTTCATTTTTCGGAGGACGGGTGATGGGGAGGTGAAGGGGGAATTGGGATGGACGAATAAGGCGTAGCGAATGCGAAGGCTTAGGCGGGGAATTCTGATGCTTTTTCTTTTTTTCGCTTGATCTTGGTCATGCTTAGAGAGCAGTGGTAGTTTAGAAATGAGGGAAGGAGGAGGCGGAGGGAGCGGGTGGTGCGGCGGAGGGAGCGGGTGGTGCGGGGTAGCGGTAATGGTGGGGTGAGATTTGTTGTGGAAGGATGGGAGAGAGACGTTATGGAGATTATCATGGAATGTGAAATTCAAAATGATGTTTTTTTTATTAAATTATGTTAGAAAATTGATTATTAATTTAATTTTGAGATTAATCTTATAAATGATAGAGTTTATATTTATTAATTTTAACTAAAATTAATTAATAAGTCTGATAGATTTCTTCTTTTTTTTTTCTAAAAAATTTCTGTTAGAATATCTTGATCAAATACAGATAGGATCAGACTCAAAGCTTTTAGATTAATTTATTTTAAAAATTGATGTAGTATGACTTATTATTAAACTAATATTAAATATATTCAGGAGCAGGACCCCTTTGATCCGGGGGATGAATTGCCCTCACTAAAAAAATTACTTTTTTCATTATACGATTATTTAGATAATTTGTCCTCAATTTATTTTTGAGTCTTTATTATTAGAGTTTTTAGGCAATTGCCCCTAAAATTTTTAAAATATAATGATCTTTTGACAATTTCCCACAATATAATTAAATATATTTATGTATTATTTGTGATTAGCATGAGATGGAATAAGAACCCTTGGTTTGCTTTCTAGTTCACCTACATCGTTAGTAAACAGGTGGGGAGGCAGTTTGCTGTATTGAGGCATTGACAACATGCGGTGGTTAGTAAACATGACCACACATTCTCTATCAAATATTTATGTTTCCTTTGTGATAATTGTTTCCTGGTTTATTTTTTAGACCACAATCATAATATCTATTTGCATATGTTTTTTTTACTGCTTTCGGAAAATTTTTAAGCTTTTATGTTGTTTAAAAAAATTACTTTCTCCGAATAATTTAACAATCGTCTTTATAAAAAATTATAGTCATCTTAAATGAACCCTAAATGAAGTATGCTTTATGTTATGCTAAAGTTTGGAGAGATTTGAAAAGCATTTGTTAGATGCTCTTGGACATGATTAAGGCTTCATTTGGAACGACTTTCTTAATGTTTTGTAAAGCAGTTTTCTAGTACAAAAATTTTAGTTCAAGAAGTTTTTAAAAATTCTTGTACTAAATAATTACTGTTTTAGAAACAGTAAAAAAACTGTTCTAAACAAAGCCTAATATATCATAGATGTTTAGTTAGGAAGGTAGCTTTTGGAGATGCCATAGAATGCTATAATCAGCTGTTAACTCACCTTTACACGTCAACCATTGTATGGCTTTTTATTTACTTCTTGCCCTATGTATTATCTATATATTGCTACCTGCTGTATCTCTACTGTGATAATAATATATTTAGCTTTATTTTTGTTTCAACGTGTGCTCTTCTCTCTGGCTTCTCCCTTCTCTAGCCAGTCTTCATGGTATTAGAGCGCCATTAATGGCGGACCAAGACTCGGCGACATCCGCTCCATCTTCTTCCAATCTTTCTAACTCTCTCTCTCTCTCTCTCTCTCTCTCTCTCTCTCTCTCTCTGTCTCATTTCGTCGTTCCCACACCATTAAAGTTCTTGATCTCAAATCTCAAGAACCTTGTTCCCACCCAACTCACAAACGATACCTAAGCTATTTGGAGGCTTCAGCTTCTTCAACACTTCTCTGCTAATGGATTCGTCGATCATCTTACAGCGATTCAATATGTCATTCCGACACCAAATCTTTCGATTATGCATTATGGCGTTTAATTGATCGGAACCTTATCTCTATGCTTCCTGCGACCATCTCTATGTCCATTCTTTCCTACGCTATCTCATATTCCATCGCCCATGACATTTGGGAGATTCAATGGAATTTGCAACCCACTAATCGCTCGCATTTGATTCTGTGAAAGCTGTTTTTCCTTCCAGGTTCGTCCGGACGAAGTTGGATCGTCCGGGACGATCAGTACAGGTTGTAAAGGAATTTCTGGACAGAGAAGTTCGTCCCAGGACGAACTGGGGTTCGTCTGGACGAAAATTTTCCCGAGAGCAACTCGTCCATGTATGATTACTGTACACGTCTGAACGAATTTTGTCCAGAGGGAAAATAGTCCCGGGACGATTTGCGATCGTCCGGGATGATCTGGTTGGATATATATGGAAATGAGATATTTTGAAGAGAGAGAAAAGCCCAAGTGTCACGACCCGACCCGAGACGGATCCCGCCCGCACCGGGCCGCGACCAGCCAAACAAACCGATAGACCAGGATCTGGCTTTGGAATTTGCTTCGGAACTGATTCTTCCAAATATTTCAACTCAAAAACAGACACACAGAGCTACTATGAAACATCAAATGCAGCGGAACAAATCATATATATTTTTCTTTTCCTCAAAACAATCATCTACAAATACAGTACATGACTGACAAAAAGAACAAAGAAGAAAAGTCATGACTGTACAAAAATCAAAAAGTACAAAAATACTTATAACTGATCAGACTCTGAACTCTAGTATAAGATCTCCTTCCCTTTCCCAGAACCTGAAAACCACCAGAAAATAAGGGTGAGCTTAACAGCTCAGCAAAGCGACAAACCTCCAATAAAAACTTCCAGAATCCCAAAACCAAACACATCAGACCAAATCCAATCAAAATATTCGTACAGATCAGAACAAACAGATCAAATCAGAACTTATACGGACTTATATCAAATCAGAATCAGATTTGCTTACAGAACAGATACGGAAATCAGAAGTCCTTTCAAATCAGATATTATTTAATTAATAGCTAAATTCCTTGATACTGACAGAATCTCTATGGATTCCGGCCCCTTATGCCTCCCTTTGTGCTCACGGCACCAGACCAGATGTGCTTATAGCACCAGAACAGATTTGTTCGGATCCGGAACAGAACTGATTTCAGATTTCAGATTAAGCTCATTTCAGATTTCCCAGACACTAACCGAATCTATTAGGATCCGGGCCACTTATAACTCCCTTTTTATAACCTATACAGATAACATATCAATTCAGAAGAAATCCGGACAAAATAAAAAATCACACGAAAATCGGACAGCACAACGGCTGTATACGGAATTTACACAAATTTCCTGAAAAATCACAGAATACCAAATTTGCACAGAATATAGATAACAACATTGCAAGACTTTAATTCTATTGCTCAGATAATTTTAAACTACACAGAAAAATACAGTCGACGGAAAACGCCGTCAAATCAAAACTACCAGGACAAAAATCTCCAAAAAATAATCAAAATGTGCACGGCACATCAACAACATATAGAAAATTACGCGGTAAAAACTGAACCAGACGGGAAATACGGACGAAAATCACTAACAAAAATCAATTCCGGACAGATAATACCGCCAAACACGACGGTTCTGAAAATTGAGAAAGGCGGATTGTGCCTTACCTTGCGTACAACAATATCTTCAACAGTCTCGTCGAACGAAAACGGCCCGGCGTCGCCCAAAAATCAACTTTTCCACTTTTTCCTTCGTTTTTCTCTCTCCTGGGTTTTTCTCTCTCTTCAAAATATCTCATTTCTATATATATCCAGACTGATCATCCCGGACGATCGCAACTTCGTCCCGGGCGAAGTGGCTCTGGACAAATTTCGTCCAGACGAATTTCATGAACGTCCCCGGCGACTGGTCCTCTGGAAAATTTTCGTCCAGATGATCCAAATTTCGTCCAGACGATCCATGCAGCCAGAACTGTTTTCCGGCCTGTACCGATCGTCCCGGACGATCCAACTTCATCCGGACGAACCTGGAGCAAAACTGATGTTACAATCTCCCCAACTTCAAAGAAAATGTCGTCCTCGACATTGTCCAATCAAAACTCAGTCAAAACAGATACGGGTACGACTTCCTCATGTCAGACTCCTTCTCCCATGTGAGTGGCTTCCCAGTGGCCGTACGGTGCTTCCACTGGACTTTAACCATCGAATCTGTTTATTTCGTAGCTTTCGGAGTCGTAACGTAAAATCATCGTGGCTTTTTTTTGTACGCAGATTGCTCCCTGAATCTCATTCTCGTCAGCTGAAGTTTGGGCCCAGAATATATTTAGCTGATTAACTTCCAAGTGAACTGATATAGAAAGTTTACGTTATCAAGTGCGATATAAGCGGTGAACTGTTCACGTCAAAATGGTCAAAAAGAATTATTGTCAACGCAGTTCATGGACACTGGTCTAAGTAAGTGATTCAAGAGATAAAGAGCCACACTCAGAGTGGTGCTTGGGTTCGGTTTCCAAATAGTAGCCATCAGGTAGAGTAATCAATTAATCAACTCTATATGTTAAGTTCAGAATTCTCAACTAGAAAGTGTGAACACTCTCGCTGCTGACTAAACC